CTTCGTATGCTGAGTCGTGTAGTCCACGAAAGCTTATGCTCTAATAAATTTGTTAGTCTCTAAGGTGCCATAAGTACTCCTGTTCTTTTTTTAAATTAAGAGGTGTTTTAAGCTCAACCTAGTTGGCCTATCAGGGAAGTGAGTTGAAGCTCAAGTGATGCCGATGCTCAATCTAGTAGTGCAAGAGCTCAAATTACAGTAGCTAATGCAATCACTCTGCTAATCTAATCAGTCTGTACTGTTGCTGCATGTTTGAATTTAATAACTATTTGAGATTGTCAAATAACAAGCTCAAATGGAATTATGTAATCAAAAATTTAATCAGAGATTAGTTCAATACTATCCAGAAAGAAAAGATACATTACCACGTTTGGTGTAAGTTAAAGAGCTGGCCTTTGTGTCTCTCCCCTGCATAACTGGTGGGATGATGGCAGGTTTCATTTCCCTACCTAATTCCCAATATGTCTATATTTTTTTATGGGGTACGAAACAAAGAAACCCCTTTTGTGAATGGAAAAAATATTTTCCTATGATTAATTTTTTTGCCATATTTTATGTTTTAATGTTTTTGTTTACCTCATTACTTATGGAATTTCCTTTATGGTATTTGTAGGCTACATTGATAAGCAAAAAGGGAATTCTAAGCAAGTCACAATTCCTGACAACTGGCAATTCCCCAAGACATCTTTTAATGGATCCCCATTTCATCACTGCAGAAAGCATCTGCAATAATAATTGTTCCTTACCAAACAGTCCTGCCTATATCTATGTAGACTCTTTTGGTAGTTTGAGGGGGTCTCTTTCCTGGACATCTGTCTTCCCACAGAGTTGGATCTCTTATTGTCTAATATTGAATCATAAGAAGTTCCTGCGGATAAGTCACTCACAGGTTATGGACCAATACTCTGGCCTTACTAGTCAAATGCACTTTGCTAACACCATAAAGAATTTGGGAGAATCAATAATATATAAATGACTTGTAAGGTAAGAACCTCAGAGTTATGACACCTCAGGAATGGAGGTTGTTCATAACTCTGAACAAAACATTGTGGTGGTTCTTTCAGAAGCTTACAACTGAATATTGATTTAGTAAAGTTTCAAAACTGTATTATGCAGAAGAAAAATGCTGCTTATAACTATCTTAATTTAAATGAAACAAGCACAGAAACAGTTTCCTTACCTTGTCAAATCTTTTTTTAATTTTCCCTTTATTCTTTTTAGTAGTTTACGTTTAACACAGTACTGTACTGTATTTGCTGTGTGTGTGTCTGCTGCTGCCTGATAATGTATGTCCAGTTCCAAATGAGGCGTTTGGTTGACCAGTCAGTTTGTAACTCTGAGGTTCTACTGTACATTCGTATAAGAGCAAAACTAACACATTGGTGACCTGGTCTGGTCCCCAGCTGCGAGGCTGTCAGTTCTTAGCTAATGCCTGCAGCCTGAGTAAGAACTAGCATCTGGCCTGCCAGCGTCACATGTACATCTCAATGTTAGTACTTTACAATATTGGCTGTCAAACAATTACAGACAAGGACAGACACAGTGAATCAAATGCTTTCCATTCTAAAGAAAGTGCTAATACAGTATCTTTAGATTGGTGAACTCAACCTTGCAACAGCTTTATTGTTCAGTCTTCCTGTTCCATTTATAACAAGTGCTACAGATGCATGTAACATAAAATGGGGTGTTCACTGCAGCAGGTTCACAGTGTGGGGACGTTGCAATTCCGAGCATTCTTTATTCATCTCCAGCACAAAGTTGTCCATGTCCTGAGTGAGTCCTTCGCCACCGGAGTGTTAGGACAGTGGGTTTTTAACTGACCTTGAACTATCTTGTTCCACTGCTGTTCAGAGCGTGTTAGAGAACTTTAGGAAAGGATCTAATAGAAAATGTTGCAATTAAAAATGGAAAAGGTTCACAATGTCGTCAGATAATACTGTAATAATAATGTCCCGTACAAAGGCCTCAATCCATTGTATACTCGAGTACTTGCTCCGGCTCAAAATATCATACCTATCACTTTTTTGTTTAAATATGGTCCATTTATCAGTCACTGTAATGAGAAATAAATTTACACGATTACCAGAGATTCCTTCCCCTGCATCAGGGTCTCCCATGCTTGACTACCGTAACCAACTGGACGTCGGTGGAATCTCAAACAGGTCCTGGCTTGCGGCATAGCTCGACTCCCTCCTCCCACTCCCAGTTGCATGTCCCCCATCCTTATTCTTGCTCTTCATGTCCGGGGCCTGTGATTTGGGCTCCTAAAAGGTATCCACAGTAGTGTGTGGGGTGGTGGTGGGGTCTCTGCCAATATGGCCTAGAGCTCTTTGTAAAAGCAGCAGATCTGTAGCTCAGCACAGGATTGACTGGTGACCTCTTCTGATATGCCTGACACAGTTCCTTTGTTTTTCATGTAGCACTGGTACTGATCTCGGTTGTACTCCGTCTCCTGCATCCACCTGCAATCTGCTTGTAGATGTCCATGTTACATAGCTGTGCTTGCACAGCCTCTTTGCCCAGGAGGCCAATATGTCCTGTCTACTCCAAGCTGGAGCATATCTGGAACATGTAGCTGGCATGGTCGTCTGGGCTGTTGCACCAAACAACAGATAGCTGCTAGGTGTGCTCGCCACGATGGACAATCAGGAAAAGGCATTTCAAAAATTCACATGGTTTTAAAGGGGGTGTTGTAGAATCCACCTTGACAAAGCCCTGCCTGGGATGATTTAATTGGGGATTGGTCCTGCTTTGAGCAGGGGGTTGGACTAGATGACCTCCTGAGGTCCCTTCCAACCCTGACATTCTATGATTCATGACCCCTGGACAGCGCAGTTCACAGTTATGACCAGAGTGGTTAGTGTCTGGGTTTGTGGGACAGCTGCTGGAAAGACTGTTAGGGTCAACATAGGTAATACAAAAAGAACAGGAGTACTTGTGGCACCTTAGAGACTAACAAATTTGATGCATCCGTAGAAGTGGGCTGTAGCCCACAAAAGCTTCTGCTCAAATACATTTGTTAGTCTCTAAGGTGCCACAAGTACTCCTGTTCTTTTTGCGGATACAGACTAACACGGCTGCTACTCTGAAATAGGTAATACAGTGTCTACACTCATGCTGCATCGACCTCAGTACGTTGATCATGGCTCAACACTGCTCAGGGAGATGGTGTTACTGTGTTGGCTTAATGGAGAGCATATGTTAATGGAAGACAAATTGAAATGTAGATATGCATAGCTAGGTAGACACAAAGTGGCTTACGTCAACCGAACTTTCTAGTGTAGATGAGGCCAAAGGTACCAGTTAGGACCTGTTGTGGTGTTTGTTTTTTGGAGAGTAAACCTCTGTCCATTAGCAAATGGACAGAGACCCACCGTACTCATTTCTCATATGCCAGTGAACAATATAAAGTTTTCAAATTATTAGAATAAAAACGAACAAGGAATTTTTGGCTTGGTACCTTCACATGCCAAGATTTCTGAAGGAAGATTATTTGACCTAGTAATATCCCTGAAAATAAGGGCTTATAATTAAATGCTGACAGATTTTTAGCTAGACCATTGCAGTAGGTGCAACTGTTAAGACACCCACACTAGTTTCTTTAAATAAAGAAATAAAATAAAATGCCAGTCCTGTGTACTTGAGTTCAGTCTCTCAGTAAAAGGTCCCTAAGTGTGTAATGACCAAAGCATTTTCACTGCAGAAATCAGTCATAATAGATGTCCTTGTTTTGTGTTGGGGCATCAGCCTTCCTAGAGAATCATTAATTCCCAGGAAGTAGCCTGTGTCTTCCTCATTATTGCTAATATTCTTAATCTCTCTCATTCTTTTGTTAATTCCTTGAAACAAGCATTCGCTGCAGAGATTTGATTTGTTTTTTTGAACAACTGAAAAACAGTGTGTTACGGTTGGACAGGTTGAACATTGAAAAATGATGTTGCTGAGCCTTTTCCCTTTCATGCTGTTTCTCTGAATCCACTCTGTATGTTGTAGTGCCGTTTCTTTAGAGCAGAAATCAAGTGATCCTGTTACTTGTTTTCACATTTGAGAACAATTCAGCTAACACAGGTCACTCTTGACCGTAGAATTTTACAGTAATCATTGTGGTTATGATTTCTTCTACATCTCAAACTGTGTGTGTGTGTGTGTGTGCAGTCTATTAAGTAGAGTAAAATCTATTCTATTTCTATTTTTTAGGGTCTTATACCACAATCATGGTATCAATAATGCAATTATTATTTGATTTTAAAGGCACTTCAGTAATGTTACTCATTATACCTTCAGTGAATACATTCCCAGTGCTTTTAAGTTTTCCTCATCTTCTTTTGACACATCTTTCCCATTCCACTTCATTTGAACCTGAATTGTCCTTAACAGAACACTGTTAAAGTATGATATAAGTATTTTTATGCAATACTTAATATATCTAAATTGAAACAATAAGTGCCTATGTTGTTTAAATAGGCTTCCAATAGATTGGGAATAAGCATTGATATTTGGTAAGCATTCTTGAAAATGTTTAGCACTGACGATTGCCACATAAAAATATTTTTACCTTTCAGTTAGAGTTTAGATAGCAATGGACTCATGACTTGACCACAGTTTTTTATTTAATATGAAATGTCCTTACTCAACAACTGTTTTACTATGAGGAAGCACTCTTTGGATCTACTTACTGGACTACTACAGGGCTGAGACTCGGGGGATCTGGATTCTGTTTCTGGCTTGTCCACAGATTTTTGTGTGTGTTTAACTTGTCATTTGGGGACACTGGCAACTTAAAAATCAAACATCTATGTGAGTACTTTTACCTGTGGTTTTTACAAGTATCACTTACCATTGCTGCTAATTTAAAAATATTTGTTTGAAGTCAGGGGGACAGTATACAGCAGCTAATTATCTGGCCCATTGTTCTCAATTTTTTTAGTTTGCATGTGCATTTGGCAGCATTTGATTATAATAATTTCATTGTTTACCCTGTGTAGTCAGTCAGTTTCCCCATCCCCACCCCCCATTGATGGAGGGGATCATTCATATAGCAACAGGAGAGGGATAAATATGTTTAATATACAAAAAAGTGATTGTAAAACCCACAAAAATTAACAATGGGCTAATGGACAGGCAAAGTACCTGAAACTACTGATAACTTTTTATAAAACTGACTAGATTTGAAGGTGATGATGTATCTTTAAAGACCACGTCTGCTTGTTGATTATTTGTCATTAAATGAGATTTAATTTCTGTTTGTTTGTTTGTTTGTTTATTTGTAAATCTACAACGTGGGTACTGTGGATCTTAATACATTTGCAAAATATTTTGCAATTTTTGGATTGAATATGGTAACAAGTCCCCAGTGGTGTTATGTTGATTGACATTTCAAGGCATTTTTAAATAAGTAGATGTCTTCCCAGATAATTTTCTCCTCTCCCTCCCCTATATCTGTTTGTACAAGATTTACAGAAATATTATGATTCAAAAGTAAATGTTATGTTTTCTGTTCCAGCGGAAGTTTCACTGTGCTAGTTTGACTTCTTGGCCTCCATGGCTCTACTCTTTATATGATGCTGTAAGTATAAACCAGATCTTACCCAGGGAGCTATAATCAATTTTATGCTTTTGGGTATTTCATTATTAAGTAGCACAAAACCATATAATCTATTTTTATTTCGTGTTTCTAAGTACTAACTGCGGCATTATCAAAACATTAGCCAAAATGACACACATTTTAAAATATCTTTAACAAACTTACACATATTTACTGCAAAAATACTCAACACAATAACAATTTTTGTTTTTATTTCCAAATCAGTAGCTTGGATTTTTATTTGCTATCTTATAGTGTTTGTACATGAATTATAGAAACCGTGGACCCCCACCGAATATGACCTACCCTAATAGTTGATCCAGTACTGAAAGCTTCACTTTAATTAAAAAACTACACATTTAGAATCTTTAATCAGCACTAAATTAATCAGATATTCCCCTCCCTCCCAGTAAAGTCTGCTCAATCTTTACCACAATCATTATAAACAAAACAGAATATACATCCTGTGAAGAACTTGAGCACTACCAGCCCTGGCTGTTCGTGTATTACCTCATCTATGAAATCTTGTGGTCCCACTGAAGTCAGTGGAAGTTTTGAAATTGACTTCAGTGAGACCAGGATTTCACTCCTTGTGTCCTGTCACAAGAGGAAGAAGGGGGGCAGTTCTGCTACCAACCACCCTGATACTACCATAATATAGAAATCCTTTAAAGATAGTTAATTTCTTTTCCAAACTGATCAGTTCTCTCTTTCTGAGAAGTGTTCCCACCTTGCCTGATGGGAAACCTAGGCTGATTTTTAACTTATTAGCTCAAAATATGTAGACATGTAGATAAACTGTCTTTGCGCTAAGTCTTTTAAAAGATAATGTCCACTAGAGGCCAATAGCTCACTCCCCATTTTGCTTTTATTTTAAAGGGGAAAAAAATGTGTATTTAAATTACGCTTTTCTTCTAATGAAAGGAAACCTTAATGGAAAGAGTCAAGTGGCAACTACATGAGTGGGATGAAAATCTTAAAGATGAATCTCTTCCATCAAATCCAATAGGTATTGTAAAATTATGTTGCTTGGTTTTCAGCAAATTTGTATTTTCTCCCCTCATATTTTGTTAAAGGTAATGATTCTTTTTTTTTTTCTTGCCTGCTAGACCACGACTACTACTGGGAAGGGATTATGTGTACTGAACACATGTACTGGTCCATTAACAAAGCACCTTTATCAAAAATTTTCCAACCCACTTTTAGCAGTTGTTTTCTGAACTGGTAGAAATTAATGTTTAAAGCTGGAAAGTCCAGCTTTTGAATTTTCTGACTGACCATGAGATGGGACTGTAGTAGTATATCAGGCCTGTGCTTGTCCTGTGGTCTAACAGTGATTTGATGACATAAGGACAAGAATGAATACGGTAAAGTCCATTACCTTATGACCACATAAATTCCAACGTCTGGTTAAAGGCAGCTGATTTTTATATAATTTTTTAAAAATAAAAATCACTTGAGTATATCAAAACTGAAACGTGAGACTATTGTTATGTTTTTGTTCTGTGTACAAATCGGGGGGGAAGGAACCCTACAGAAATGAATGCACTCAGAAAATGCTTATCCTTCCCATGATATAACACATAAGCAAATGTTGGTATTAGAGCCAACATTGCCACTTGGATACAGTGTGTGAAAAGTGTACATTTTTGCTAGTACAAGTTTATTTCTCTTGTTTAGAAAAGCATTGTGCATACATAGAGAACTGAATAAAAGACATCCATATTTTATTTCTTACATTGTAACAGGCATGGTGCTTTTCTCCAGATTTTTCTTACAGAGTTGCTGCTTGCCTGCCAATTGATGATTCATTACGTATTCAGCTGCTTAAAATAGGAAGCGCTATTCAGCGACTGCGTTGTGAATTAGATATTATGAACAAAGTAAGTATCTTATTTATGTTTAATTTACGGTACTTTGATTTAGTGTCACCAGGTAAAAAGAGTAGTTTGTATAATCTATAACAAAAAAAATTCTGCCATTTCCAAGTTATATTTTAAGAAGTGGTATTTTTTAGAACTTTTTATTTTTCCTGTTTATTTTTAACTTTGATAGAATATGTCGTCCACTGATATTGGCTGGCACATTATATTTAGCCGCAGACTTGCAGTGCATTTTATCCTTTTTTTCCCCTACCGCTAAAGTACTTGCTGGCTTTTTTTCGTCTTGAAAGAATGACAATTATATTTTTTAAATGATGTTCCAACACTTTATTGTACTGTGCCAGCCAAGAGATGGTGCTAGAAGCCTGATGCAGTTAGTACCATTCTTTCTAAAATCAGAACGCATTTACAGTAAAACATACAGTAATGAAATATTGCTGTGCCATGATAAGTGGAGTGGATTTTAGTGCTTTATAAAGTATGATATATCCCTACAGTGATAAGACTACATAAATATTGGACTGAAAGGATTTTTACATTCAAACATCTACTATCCTAATAAGCAACAGGATTCCAAGATGATTTAAAACTTGTCTTTTGTTGTCCTTTTAATATGGGTTTTCTGGAACTAAAAATTAACCAAGACTATCTAACGCAGGAATTACAATAGCTATGTGTTCAAATGGGCTGTCAATCTAGTGTACATGCACGAACTTCACATGAAAGAGCTACAAGAAATGCACAGAGCGGAGCATTTGAGAGTTAATAACAGATGACAGAAGGCTGAGGTATTTAAGGCCTATTTTGTTTCAGTCTTCACTAAAGAGGTTAATGGTGACCAGATGCTTAACACAATCAATATTAACAAGGGGGAAGGAACACAAACCAGAATAGGGAAAGAATTAGTTAAAGAATGTTTAGATGTTAGAGATGCTCAATTCAGCAGGCTAGGATACTTACCGTATATACTCGTTCATAAGCTGAATATTTTTGGTAAAAAAGTGACGCATCACAGAGCAGGGGTCAGCTTATAAATGGGTCTATACCAAAATTTGATGATTTTAAACTCTATGGAATCATTGTATTGAATATCTAATACAGGCAGGAAGTGACGGCCCGCGCCGCTTCCCGACGCCCCCATTGGCCTGGAGCAGCAAACCGCGGCCAGTGGGAGCCACGATCAGCCGAACCTGCAGACGCGGCGGGTAAGCAAACTGGTCCGGCCTGCCAGGGTGCTTACCCTGGCGGGTCGCGTGCCAAAGGTTGCCGATCCCTGATCTAATAGATTGTCGTTCTGTTTACCTAGAGCAACTGCAGGCATGGAGCCCCGCAGTTCCCATTGGCTGGGAACAGTGAACCGCGACCACTGGGAGCTGCGGGCTCCATGTCTGCAGACGCTCCAGGTAAACAAAATGTCCCGACCCGCCAGTGGCTTACCCTGACGGGCTGGGAGCCAAAGTTTTCCCACCCCTGAAATATAGGGTCGGCTTATGAAAGGAACATACAGTTTTTGCTATTTTTACCTATCCATTTTGGGGGGATCAGCTTATAAACGAGCGGGCTAATGAACGAGTATATACGGTAATTCACGCTAGGGTACTTAAGGAACTAACTGAAGCAATCTCGGAACCATTAACAATTATCTTTGAGAACTCATGAAGGATGGATGAGGTCCGAGAGAACTACAGAAAGGCACACATAGTACCTTTCTTTTAAAACGGGAACAGAAAGGACCTGAAAAATTAGACACCAACTAGCCTAACTAAGAAAGTGGAACAAATTACTAAACAATCAAATTGTAAGCAACTAGGGAAAATAGGGTAATAAGTAATAGCTAACATGGATTTGTCAAGAACAAATCATGCCAGACCAACCTAATTTTCTTCTTTGACAGGGTTACTGGTGGGGAAGGAGTAGATATAGTCTATCTTGATTTTCAGTAAGGCTTTTGACACGGTTCAACATGACATTCTCATAAGCAAACTAGGGAAATGTGATATAGATGAAATTACTATAAGGTGAGTGCACAACTGGTTGAAGGACCATACTCAAAGGGTAGTTATCAATACTTCTCTGTGAAACTGGGAGGCCACGTTTAGTGGGATCCCACAGGGCTCTGTCTAGAGGCTAGTATTATTCAATATTTTCATTAATAACTTGGATGATGGAGTGGAGAGTAGGCTTAAAAACTTGTGGCTGACACTAAATTCGGAGGGGGGTCGAAAGCACTTTGGAGAAGATGATTAGAATTCAAAATGACCTTGACAAATTGGTCTGAAATCAAGATGAATCAGTAAAGTATTTCACTTGTGAAGGAAAAATCACCAATATGGGGAATAACTGGCTATATGGTAATATTTCAGAAAAGGATCTGAGGATTACAGTGGATCACAAACTGAATATGTACCAACAATGTGCTGCAGCTCTGTAAAATGCCAATATAATTCTGGGGTATATTAAGAGGGAGGTAATTTTCTTCTCTACCTGGCACTGGTGAGACCTCAGGTGAAGTATTGTGAACAATTCTGGGTGCCACGCTTTAGGAAAGATGTGGACAAAAATTATAAAAGCTCTAAAAAACCTGACTTATGAGGAAAGGTTAAAAAAAAAACTGGGTATGTTTAATTTTGAGAAAGAAGACTGAGAGGGACCTGATAACAGTTTTCAAATATGTTAAGTCAAAGTTCTAGCCCATGGCTCATCGAGCTGTTATAAAGAGGATTGTGATCAATTGTTCTCCACGTCCACTGAAGGTAGGACAAGAAGTAATGGGCTTAATCTGCAGCAAGACAGATTTAGGTTAAATATTAGGAAAAACTTTCTAACTATAAGAATAATTAAATACTGGAATAGGTTACCAAGAAAGGTTGTCTAACCTGTTCTTAAAAACCTCCAGTGATGGGGATTCCACAAACTGGGATGGTCTAGGCATGGTTGGTCTGCCACAGCATGGGAGGATTGACTAGATAGTCTCCCATGATTCCTTCCAGCCCTACGTTTCTATGATTCTAGGGCTGCGTTGGGAAAATTTTCAGATGGGATTTCTCTAATCATTTAGGAGATTAGCCACCCCTTTCCTGTGGCTGAAATTATAAAATGCTCTAATGTTAACATTCATGCAATTCCAAGAACTGCTCATCTACAGAATTAGGTACATCTTTTTATAAATCCTAAAAGAGACTAGGAGACTTGACCTGCCCTTATGAAATATATAGCATTGATTTTAATATATAGTCTTTCCTTGCCCAACAATATAGGACACTAGTGTACATGTGAAGATCCAGCTGTAAAAATGTATTATATAAATCTCTCTAACTATTGTATTAGTTGGAGTAATATATAATATGAAGGCCACTAAATTGATTACATACAGAATCAGCCAAATTCTGATTTATTCCTGACTTAGTGTTGTAACTGAGGTCAGAATCTGGCCTGTTGCCTTTATGGCATTTGATGCATGTGAAATGTATTGCATTAGTAATGGGTTTTGTGACTAAAACTTGCACTGCTCTTATGATAAACAGTTTATTATTGTTTAATATTTATATAGAGCTAAAAATGTGCATAGCACTATACAGAAATAATACATACATGATTCCTTCCCCAGAGAGTTTATATTATAAATCAGACAGTCCTAGTGATTGAAACACCAGATAAAGAAGCTGGTAAGAAAGGAAGGATGGACAAAGAATAAAATAAAGGAGAATATGGGTGATGTCTGATGCTTAAATTCTGATAATTTTAAACTAAGTGCAGTAGAATGAGAGAACAATAGAAGATGGCACACAGGAATGGGTCAGTGGTGGGGAAGTAAGGCAAAAAGAAGTGGGTGTTGAGGGATAGGAAGGAAAGTAATGACAGTTGGCACATTATTAGAGGGAAGTCATTCAGGGTATAGTGCGCATCACAAAAATGCATAAGTAAGAGGAGACAAAAGGAGCAACATGCTGAAGTGAGCAGGAGATAGAACACGAGGAGTAGGAGTCAGAACTTAGTTGGAACCAAAAGTACGAACTGTGATTTACATAAATTGTTTTAAGTGAACATTGTTAAAATAACATTTTGTCCCATAAACTTCTTAAATTGTTTCACTGACAATTTCAAAAGTATTATTCTTTTTTTTAAAAAAGATGGGAAATATTTTACATCCCAAAAATTTATACTGGAATAAAGTATTATTATGAACTTATTTTTAAAGGCTTAGTTTCTGGGAAAGGTCAGTAATGAATTGTTCTGTTCCAGCTTACTTTCTAGTAATTTTAAGTGATAGATTAATCTGTTATAGTACTTCAGAGGGGGAAATAAGAAAAAGGATGGTGAGGGAATCAATCCATTTAATGTTACAAAATATTTTTTCTTGAAGTTAAAAGCACTCCCAGTATTTCAGAACTTAATACATTTTGCAGAAATTAAAAATGCATGTTTGTACTTGTCCTCCTTTTCTGTGTTACATATTAAATAGCAACATCTTTGTATTTGTCTAGATGTATTCGTTTTTCAAAAGCTCTTGAAAGAATAGACCTTTTCCTAATTTATTATAATTACATAGTCAGAGGCCTTTTCTTTAAAAAAAAACAAAACCAAAAAAGCTTGTGATTATGTTACTTCGATGACAAATATGCCGAAGTGAGTAAAGTTGTCCTTTTGATAGTGTATTTGTTTTTCTTTTGAAGTGTACATCTCTTTGTTGTAAGCAATGTCAAGACACAGAAATAACAACTAAGAATGAAATATTCAGGTGAGTTTTTAATTAGTTTAGTCTCTTCTTTGGAAAACAATAAATGAAAATTGGGTATGTATTCATAGTTTTGCTCTTCCTACAACTCTCATTTTCTCTTTGCTTTTTATTCTTCTGAGATCGTTCTGAGCTGATCAATAAATATTCATAGGAAATTCTCTGTGTAAAACAAAATAGGTAAAATAAATTCAAAGACATCATCCAGTCCACAGACCTCTAACAAAATGGTTATTTATGATAACTTTAGAATAATAGAAGTTGGAGTTTGAAAGGCCATGTTATATTATCTAGCTCAGCACCCAGCCAGTGTAGGGTTGTACTCTTATGGTGAATTTTGGAGTATAACTTCTTCTATATCGCTGTAATATTTCGGGTCTGATTAACCCAATTCAGAAGTAATAGGGAAAAAAATCTCAGTTGTGCATAATACTTCCACATTTTAACAAGCACTGATTTCAGATTACTATATGTGATTTGAGTATCATAGATGTGCTATTAGTATGTTGTGAAGCAAGGAAGACATGTATCATTGGATATGACGTGATGTGAAATAGAATTATTTTTAGACTAAGAGTTGTAGTAGGCAATTCATTCTTATATGTATGACCTATCCATTGTCCTCATTAATAGCTGTGTCAGGATAGTATTTCTTGAAAACAGTTACCACTGCTGGTGGCCTTGTCTCCAGCTTCACCCAGGATAACTAATATCTATCTTTCAGAGTAGCAGCCGTGTTAGTCTATATCCGCAAAAAGAACAGGAGTACTTGTGGCACCTTAGAGACTAACAAATTTATTAGAGCATAAGCTTTCGTGGAC